AATAATAATAATAATAATAATAATAATAATAATAATAATAATAATAATAATAATAATAATAATAATAATAAAGAGGGAAACAAATAATAAACATCTTTATCTCCATCATTCTCCCCCTGTCGAAAAGGATTCGCCCTCGAATCCAAAGCAATCTCGTCTTCAACTGCTCCATAATCCTGACCGGGCCAATTTGACGGGCCATGAACTTGGTATACTCACAAGCAGAAAATCTATGACAACAACTCTCCACTTTGTCCTTTTTGGGCACACTATGCGAGTTATCAGACATATATGCTTGTTGAATAAAAGACCAAGAAAATTCATCTTCCAATTCACTGAAAACATCCATTCCAGGCACAACCTTTGGCCCCACAGACAATTCTATAACCACATGGTACTCGTCCTCTATCGACGCCACAAGTGGCTCCTCATAAAAAACGGGTGGACCCTCATAATCGGTCGACCCCTCAATATCAAAAATAGGTGGACCCGTATATTCGGTCGACCCCTCGTCATCAAAACGAGGCGGACCCTCATATTCGTCCAACCCTCGTGCGTCTACAAAGGCCCCTGAAAATTCGTGGAACAAAGACTTCCAACGCCGATCGCCGTCGAAAGATCGGCAAACAGATTCGTGAAACGCACGTCCAACTCTTGAAATCGGTAGTCAATCTGTTGAAACCGATCGTGGAAGGTGGCATCACGCTGGTTGTTTGCAGCATCTTCTCGTCCCGGCGACATCGCGAATCGTACTGACTCTGATACCAACTGATGTAGGGGAAAGCGTGAACGAAAGGGAAAACACGAGATACTCTCTCGAACTTGGGATACTCTCCCGAAAGAACACCAGTAATTTTAATTCATTCTCAAATTCAACTGAATAAAACAATAGAGGATGAGTCCTTTAAATAAGGCTTCTATAACCCTAATACTAACTTGTCCAACAAGACAAGAATCCTAACAATATTAACTTGTCCAACAAGACAAGAATCCTAACAAAATAAGTTTCCTACCAAATCTATAATACCACTAATAATAATAATAATAATAATAATAATAATAATAATAATAATAATAATAATAATAATAATAATAATAATAAAGAGGGAAACAAATAATAAACATCTTTATCTCCATCATTATTATTATTATTATCATTATTATTATTATTATTATTATTATTATTATTATTGTTGTTGTTTTAAAATGGAATCCTCAAGAACAATTGAGTTGGCTGATTCGTCTAGCTGTGTGACTTTTAGAAACACGTCTACGTAACTAATCTAATTAATTATTTTGTTAGGTTATAATATATCCATAAAATTTTCAAACGTCAATTTAATCTAATCAATTAACAGAATTCTGGTAATTATACAAAATGATCATATTGGTAACATTGTTGGTTTGGAAGTTAAAGTGATACCTGCACATGATATGTCAATTCTGGATCCAAATTAACAATTTCAGTAAAACAAATTTTCAAATTGATCAATTTCAATTAGGGGAAATGCTAAAGTTCCATTAACGATTACAAACCTCGACGAAATGACTCCGTAACAAGACCGTAACATCTCACGAACAAGACAAGACTAAGAAAGTTCATTTCAAATCAAATTGATATGGGCGTTGTTTTGTTTTAGGGTTATTTTCGTCGTCGCAACGAATTAGGTTCCCAGACAAAGGCTGCAATTAATCACTGGACCCGAAAATAAATACTGAAGTGGCGTTGATTTCTATGCCACACACGGCAGGCCACTGAAGATGCGCCTGCTACTTCACAGTGATTGACACGTTATGGGCTCAAATCGACAGGCCCATTAGAATATCCACGATGCTTTGAGTTCAATTACTTTGTTCAATCACAAAAAATTGTATGTCACATATGAAATAGACTTAGTCTAAAAAATTGTATTCTCCAATACAAATAAAAGTAGATTGAATCATGCTGATGTGACAGCCAGAAAAAAAAACTCGGTCTACCATTAAGTCTATTTTAGACCAAAGTAGAGACTTAGCCTCTTTGCATTGGAGTAAATTTATTAATTTTACGTACTTTTATTCATGTCATTCAAGACTTGGGTTTATTTAAATATCACATATGTAAGACTATACCTAATACATTGTAGAAAAATACTGGTTCACGATTTTTATTATTTATTTTATTTTTATTCTATTCTATTTTCTTTGAGTAATTATCAGTAAAAATTGCTGAAAGTTGGGCCAATCAAGTATTGTAGAAGTAGATTTGTAGGTATCAATAAAAAAAATTAATAGTTTCTCTTTTCAAGAATTTATTTATTTTTAGATTTGTAGGGGACAATGGATTTCAAGTTGGTCCTTTGGACTCAAATATAAATTGCTTTCACAAGGCAGGAAAAAGTTGGGGGAAGAAGAAAAGAAAATAAAAAAGCGTGGTCCTTAATTTGCAAGACCTTTTAATGCACATATAGGAAGAAAAAACTACCAAAATTTATTATGCTTTTCTCAGCATTTTTTTATAGGGAAATGATACGGTCCCGTTACGGTACTATCCCCTTGGTATTTTAATCGTCGGATCCACATATAGTTAGATAAGATAGATGATCCAACGGTTAAAATACCCGACGGGATGGTACCGTAACGGGACTGTAGCATTTTCCTTTTTCATATCACACTTCAACCAACTCACACGTCATTATTATTATTATTATTATTATTATTATTAGTCGTAGTAGTAGCCTAATTTATATAACATGAAAAATAATTTCGTAAAAAAAAAGTAATGAGCCTTGACGTACCGAATAACAATATAATAGGGACCACTAGATGTAAACGGATAAATTGATAAGGGCCAGAAGCTAAATCCCAAAAGATGTCACTGTTAAGGAAAAAAGAAAAAAAAAAACGAAAAATATCAATTTAATGAGGTCAGTAATTCTGCCACGAAAAGAAAAAATAAATTTCAGAAGTAAATAAATAAAATATACAAAGGCATGAACAGCATGACTTTGTCCACATTATGCTATTACCAAGAATCACAAGGCCATCACTATTTTTCCAGTTTCCAATTTTAAATATAATTAAAAAATATTATTATAACATTTGAGTAATAAATAATGGTACAATAATTTGGAATAGTGAAGATTAATCCGATTATTATAAGGAAATAAAAAACCAGAAACCCTTATCGATAAACTCAATGTACAAATAATTAGTGAGGTTTTATTGTCCACGACTCAACGGTCGTAATAAGACTGTGGTTGGTAGACAAATAAACTAGTTTATAGTTTATTTGATTAGTTTATAAGTTCCATATATTTAAATAAGTCTCGTTTGGTATGACGAGTTTTTTAAAAAAAGATCGAACTTATTTAATAAGCTTTTTCAAGTAGATTTTCAAATAAACTAGCTGAATTTTTTATTCAAACTAGATTATCAACTAATTTTACCGAACACTTTTAATATAAGCTAACTTTTCAGCTATAAAGTAATAAAAAACTTATCAGCTAGCTTATTATTTAGTTTTACTAACCATAGCCTAATTACTACACTTTTAAAGTCAATAAGAATTAATATGTCTAGAATCAATATATACTCGTAACTCAATATATAAAGTATAAACCCATAGACTCATTAAAAATTAAGTAGTCTCGATTGATAGGGATAATATGCCCATAATTAGGGTAATACATCAATAAATAATTAGTCTTATTTTCTTGTCCAACACTAGTTAATGCATGTTATACGTAAATTAAAAAAAATAAATTAATTACTTGCTTTTCATATATACGTTCATTATTGACACGAATAAAAATATGGTCATAAATTACTATTGACACCAAGTATTAAGACCACAATAAGTTACTATTGCCTTTCTATCCATAAGTCATAACTGCACGAGTTAATATGTCATACAATTAAAAAAAGATTAACATATTATAGGGGAAGATTACATTCGTTATAGTACTGTTCCGTCGATATTCTTCACCATAGACTATTTTACACTTCACAAATTTACATGTGTATTTGCGATTAAAAACACCAATGAATTGTAACGGGATTAAGACATTCTCCCATATTATAATACAAAATTCAATAATTACGAAATTTAACTTCTTATAGTATTTCCATATAAACAATAAATAAATAAATATGAATTAAAGATTGTAAAAATTCTACTTGGCCCAAAACATAATTTACAGAGGCTACTGTTTACAACTAAAAATTCACCAAAAAAAAAAAAAAAAAAGAATGTTCCATTTTTTTCCCCTTTTAACCTTCCAATCTACGCTACCACTACCAGGGATAGTACAATAATAACCACACCAACCTACGACGACGTCATGTTGACGTGCAGCGTTGCGTCCATGCTAGAGTCACACACGGGGCACGCCTGCAGACGCCGCGATCCGCCGCCCCCGCCGCATGACCCGCACAGGCATAGGTGCCGGCACGGCAGCAGCAGCACGCACGCCTCCCTCTCACCACACATCCGGCACATCCTCTCCCCATCCCGGCCGTCGCCGGTGCTACCGCAGCACGACTCGGCGTCCTCCACCTCCTCCGCGGCGGCGCCGCTGCCGGAGACTTGCAGAAGGACCTGCGCCAGGTTAGATCTGAGGGAGTTGGCGGCGGCCTCGTTGGACTGCGCCAGGTCCCGCCATAGCTGGTTCTCGAGGTAGAGGCTCTTCAATCTTTCTTGAAGGGCTAAATTAAGTTTTCCCATTCCCTGGATTTGCTCGTCTTTTTCCCGTAATTTCTTCATTAAACCTTCGCCGACGGCCGCCGCTAGCAGCCTCGCCTGCTTCATCTGCCTCTCTTCGAGCTCCAATCTGATTTTCTTGTTCTGCACGATTGAAAATTTTTTAACCAAAATTTCGAGCGATATTCTATTTTATAAAATCTACAGGATTAATTTTAGAAGTTCTAAACAAATCTAAGTATATTATATAAATTGAATATATTGACTTTATTTTGTATTTAAAATCTTCATAATAATTTTAAATAACACAAAATAAAACTACGTAATAAATGAATTGAAAATATATTTTTCAAAATATATATAAGCACTTTGATTTATTATTTATAAAGAAACGTACGTGTTGGGAGATAATGGCGTCGATCTCCGAGTGGTACTGCGGTAATTGCGGCAGAATGTCCTCGCCGGCGGCAAAGGAAGACGGCAGCTGCTGGGGAGGAATACCCTGCTTCGCGGGTGCAGGGAAGCTCGGTACAGCGTAGACGTGATTGGCCGAGTCCCGCTGGCGCTTTCGCGGTACGTTGCACGTGAGGCCGCTGTCGGTGTTGACGGAAGTCTTCGCCTGAGCTGAATCGCCCACCGCCAGACGGTAAAGCGATTGATATTCCGGCAAGGTAGCTCCGGCAAAACCCATATGTGGATTGTACGGCGGATTGAAGTTTGATTGGTTGGAAGGATTGAGAGACTGCCTGGATAGGATTAAAATTAACCGTCAAAAAATTACGTTAATGATATACTATAAACGTTGGATTAGAAAAACCCGAGTTAAATTAATTGTGGGAAATTACCAGTCGTGAATGGGTTGGCCCTGAAAAAGACTAAGATGCCTTGCTTCAACTGCCATGGGAGGTGTAGATTTGTGTTTTGGTTTTGTTTTATGTATAGAAAACAAAGGAAGAGTAAAATAAGGCAGAAATGATAAGTGTATGTGAATGGGCTTTTGAGGATTTATATAAAGCGTTCGGTTATGGGGATATAGAAGAATTCTAAAAAGTCAAATTAATTGTGGAGAGAATAAATAGTGAGGAGAGATAGAGATGGGGAAATAGTCATATACATCTGCATCGATTTTGGCACCCAAAAAAAAGGGAGAAAAAAAAAGAAAAAGAAAAAAAAAACTGAATCGGTTTTGGATATTAATTAAACAAAGGAAGTCGGTTCAACACAAAATTAAATTATACTATAATATAAAATTATAAATATAATAAAATAGAATCCAATTTACTAGTTACTGCCACTGATTCAATTTCCAAAATCTGGACCAAGCCAGAGGCGGTAATAAATTTTTACATAATAAAGTTCCCCACCCGAAAACTTGGCCCATCTATGAAGCAGACCGGTCAACCTCAGAGGGGGCAGTTTCGTCTTTTCAGCTGTATGACGTGGCTGGAGTCTCCAACCTCCACCACGTTGTGAACCGCTGGGGTACGCGGGCCCCACATGCACCGTACGCTGGCCCCTCGGGCAACTTTGATTTTCGTTTTTGCGATTAAAAAAATGGGGCGCGTGGGGGAAATGTGTGTAATGTGGGAGTGGGACCCACGGGGCTGCCACGTGCGAGGTGTGTGCTGTGATGGAGGAAAAGTTGCAGTTTTGGGGGGTGTGGGGCCCGCGGGATTTTCTGTTTCGTTTTGGTACCTTTTGTCTCCATTCGTTA